TGAGACAGAACCCTACCAAACGCCGAAGTAATCGTGATTACTTTGCTTTGAAGAAAGTTTCCCTACGGTTTTCTAAAAAAAGGTGAAATTATTGTTTTATAAACGACAAAGTAGAAAGGGCTAAAAGACGTATATCCACTATAATATTCTTTGTTTGTTATTATTTAGCGCCGTAAAAACTGGAAATATTTGCCTGAATAAACGTCATTTTCAATGAGGCTATAGGAGAAGCCAGAAATAATTAGTATCTAAGTGAATAACAGATGAAATCTATGAACAGAAGAAACGCCATTCTGAGCAAAAGGATTGATGAACTTACGCCATCTGTCTAACAAGTTAAAATGTCACGTAAGTACGAATTTAAAAACTAAGTTACTGAAAGATTTAATTCCAATTAGGTGCAGACATCCTTAAATCCTGTAGCAGTCTTCTCTGTTAATGTTTGAGACTAGCAGAGGATGAGGAAAAAAGAGTTATCTCAAATTATAAAAAACAGATGCTGTTTGTATTTGAAGTATTTGCTCAGTAAATCCCATCGTCTCCAATTTTAGCACTCTGCTGGTTGGTTGTGTTTCAACCACTGTTTATGGCAACTAGACTGCTGATTTAGGCAGGTAACTTCAGAAAAACAAGTAATGTGTGATGTGTGACTATAACTTTGTTTTATAAATGCATAGTTCTCCTTACTTGAAGGAAATATATTAGTACTGGAGAGAAACTAAATAAGTCGCATAAGGTTACAGAAATATTGAAAGTAGCCATGACGTACACTTATCTTACTGTTTCATAATGAGCTTCCACCGATCTGCTGCTCCTCTTCTTGTCGAGAACTTTTACACGTCAAAACTGACGCTACAAACCTGTGAAAACCCATCCTGATTTCTGCAACAGAGCTGCTTGTCAGCGGTTCAATACCCGTGTCGTAGAGATTTCAGGTCCAGAATAACACCGGAATTAGATGCATGCTTCGAAAGGAGGATTTTGCACCGTTATAATAAACTAAATGCATAATTAAATTCAAGCTGCTAGATCAAGATACACACCAAAACCAATGTTTTTAATACTTTTCTGTATTAGAACTAACAGATCCTTATCCATTTTAATTTTCCACTGAGATGTATACAGCAAGCTGACAGAAGAATAAGACCAAAAAATGTTTGTAGTATGCCCTGTTTTGCACTTAGAAATGGCATTGTTAAACCGGTGAAAAAATTGTTTTTTTTTTTTAATTATCGGGGAAAGCAAATAGAAGGCTAACGTTTATTTTCATGTTTTCTTATACCGTCGTAACCTAAATATATCAACCTATTCGCTTCCTTCCAGGATCTTTACGTTTTGCTCAATAGTAATAGCGAAAACTTAACGCTGGCTAATCATCGGTAAACTTTTAGCTACCTACTTCTTAGCGCGGCTTCTCAAAACGTACATTCTAGATTAAGCTTCTAGATTTATTTCTTTTGGTACTACAGTAATTTTACATCCAGAAGTACTCACAGACAAATACCGTCTTGCATGTTCTTTCCCGCGCCGGTCCACGTATAAACCTAATCAATTACCAAAAACACCTAGGTTTCTATCTACTTTACACACGGTTCGATTCTATGCAAAACTTAGGTTTTAGATTTGAATTTTTAGAATTGTTTTTTTGGTGCTACAATGATTTTGTATCCGGAACTACTCAAGCGAAAATCCAGTACTTTTGTTAGTAAACTCTAAGCTATCCACCTAGTCATATACCACTCGACTCTACAGCAAACTGGGTTCTGGATTTGTCTTTAACGGTACTGTGGTGAATCAATTCCTGCAGAATTCACAGACAAATCCTAGGCGGTGTTCTTTTCGGCCTCTTTTTATTTCAAATTTGTCGATTACCAGTAAACTCGCAGCGGTCTAGGTGCTTGACACATCGTTCAATTCCCCCAAAACAGTCAAATTTATTTTTTCGAGCACTCCATTAAATTCAATTCCAGACATATTCACAAATACGGTGCTGCGCATTCTTCAGTAAGGTAATCTATGTTTGAAGCCTCTTAATTCCCATCTAAACCAATGTCCATACCACTCAATTCTACGAAAACCCTAGATTTCAAGAACACTTCTTCGGGAATCCCAGTGATCTTATTTCTAGAGATACTAACGGACAAATAAGGTGCAGCGTATTCTTTTCAGTGCGCTTATTTATCTTTACGACTTCCTCGTTACCAGTGAAATGGTAGCTATGTTCCTATCTCACGTATTATTTGGCTCTCTGTAAACTCTTGATTTTAGTCGTACACTTCGCAACACAATACTAATCTTATCAATATATTAATCGGCAAAACAATCTTTCCGACTTTTACAATACAAAAGTGCACCTTTGTAGTGTTTTGATTACCGGTAAAACTGTAATTGGATACCTCTGCTACATATTATTCGACCGTCTCTTAACTGCTCATTTCATCCTTATACATTGCAGCATGGCAGTAAATTGATTTTTCAAAATATTAGTCGACGGAGACCGGCCTTTGGAAGTCTTAAAATACGCGCTCCATCGTAAATTTTAACTATCAGTATGACTGTAACTTTCTTATATGCTACTCGATTCTATAAAGTTCTCGTTATAGCCGTATACTTCGCGGAACAGTCGTAATTTCATTTTTCGCAATATTAATCAACAAGCGCCATCCTTCATATAAGATATAGAAACTTAACCTTTTGTGATGCCGTTTTTGAAAACATCCCTTCTTTAAAACTTCTCTCAAAATTCGCATATTTTTAGCCAGGCCCGAGGCTTTGTTCAAAAGAGGAAAAACACTTGCAATTAAAACCCAATCCTCTCTGGCTCTTAGACGCAAATCCCTGGTACCATGCGCACTTTGTCCACCACTACAGAAAGAATTATATAGCTTGATAGAGGCAAGTGTTATTTCACCAGCTGTTTACTGCTAATGGACTGCGCCTTTAATTCGGATCGAAAAAAGGAAAACAATAAAATTACGGTTTGCATCGACTTTTCAAAGGGATTGAATGTAGCAATAGACATTCACAAACTCCCACTACTAAATCCTGATAACCAATTTGCAACTCTCAATGATGGAACTTTCTTTTCTCATCTAGATTTATCGGATGCTTATTTACCGATAGACCAGTTTTCACAAAGGTACAACTTCAAACACTGTTTATTAAACACTTTGCTTCGTTAACTAAAAACTTCTTGTTATCAACATTAGAACACCTAGCTTCATACGAAATTTACTGGGTAAAAAGGCAAGATACGAGATAAGTCACTGACCTTGCAAAATTTAAAAAAAAACGGCAGAGATTACACCAACGGCATAAAACGTTCTGAAATTAGTAGCATGTTCTTCTCCAGTTACATGGAACTCTGAATAAATGAAAAAGCCAAAGTCTAAGCACTACGTGAGTTAAGTGGAACTCAAAAATAACATTTCAAAGGAGAAAAATTTATTCCTCGAAATTTTATTCAAAATGATTACAGAAAGTAAGACTGATTTCTAATCTGTACGTCAGGAAAACCACTTCTTTTCACAATGCTGGAGTTTTACCATCCAAGTTGTTTCTTAAGACTACATAATTTTACAGCTAGAAATCGACCGCCCTAAACAAGCTTTGAATTTCAAACTAAAAGCACGCCGCATCTCTAAGAAACATATTGACGAGAGGCCATAGCTTATAAACAACAAAAGATTTTTTCAGGTACACAACAGCGGCTTCCATTCATCTTCATTTTTGAACGTACTCCCTACCAAAAATCACTTCTCCTAAACCACTAATACTATAACACAGAAAAATGAATCTTAAATTATTACTAGAAAACAACTAGACCAAAAAGTTTACTAATCCAGAAAAACACTATTTAATAACCTGAGTCCTTGCACTTACTCAACATTAAAAAACCACACCCTTTTCACTAACAATTAACTTATTTTAAATGCTCACTCCGTCTGCCTCTTCCCCCAAAACATCACATTTTAAAAACAAATCAGTAAGGAAGAGCAACTGTTACATTCATGTTCCAAAAAAGTGCTATGCGCACTTAAGGATTTCTCTGTAATTCACTGTAACCAAAAGAACAAGGAGGAAAAAAAAGCAAGAACAAAACCTTAGACGAAACCCTCTTTCTTTGTTCCAAGTAACGTCTGGTAATTCTAGAATTACTTTCGAACAAGCATTATAAATGATTATGCCGTAAGTACGATTTACTTGGAATCTTCAAGCTTGAAAGACAACAACTATAACAAGTGAGGAAAAAATGTATGAAAACTGTCATACATCGATACAATTTGGGATTTAGTAGGAGCCACAAAGAGAGCAATAACAATGAGGAACGGCATTGAATTCCTGGTGGAAATACTCAGGATTAACTGTTTCAACCAATGCAACTGTTCTAGGTAATTGCCGCAAAAGATGAACAGCAAACAGCCCGTCTGTCACAAGTAGCAGCAACAATTATTTCAGAATCTTCTGCACCTCTTCAACTAGAATACTTGCGAACTTCAAACAGTGTTGCGTAAATCAAATATTTTGTGACGCTAGTACAAGAACACCTAAAAATTTAAATCCTTTCGTGAAGACCAAAACGAAATTTTTAACTTAAAGTGGCTTTATTTCTAACGAACCTTCTCCCCATGAAGCCAAAAACTTGAGTCAGAAGCCTCTTAACATTGAAGCAAACAGCGGGTACTAATTTTTTTTCAAAGCAGACAAAAACTCAGCTATTACATTTCCTTAACCAACCAAACTAATTTAGCACCTTACGAAACATTAAGCAACATGGAACGAAAATACGGCATAAACAATATTCAGAAAATCGCAGTTTCGGAAACATTTCTAAAAACTCCCTGATTCTCCATCTACGATAACGCCTACTATTTAATAAAATCTTTGGTGATGCAAAGCAAAAAAATAATAATAAAATTCTACTTTCATCCAGCAAAATAAATATTAATTCGTCATGAAAGCCTTACCGTACTAAGCGTAAAAATAAAAAACGCTATTAGCTACAAGCATCTTTTTTCTGTCCAAAGTGTTTCCTGGCGTATTTTATCACGTTCTTCATCAGTGAAATCGTCTACCAAACTCAGGTATTCCCGAGCGTCTTCCACCTGCCACAAAAAAATTCTTTTTAAAACAGCGACAGTGCTTTTAAAACACCGAAAGAAAAAAACAAATAAAATTGGGAAGAAAAAACCAGACGAAATAAAAGAACAGATGAGCGTACAAAAACAACAAAACCTACACTCATCGTCTGCAACTTCTCGGCAACGAAGGCTGCTGAAGACCGTGAGAGCGGCGAGACTCCAAGATAATTAGCTGCATTCATTAGAGCAAATAGTTCATTACGATCCATTGAATCAAATTCTTCACGCTCCCAGTCGAGAATGCAAGAAGCCTATTTAAGGATTTGTAAAAGTATTAAATCAAAATTATCAAAATCATATCATCCCTATCTCACTCAATACTACTTGAAATTCGAAAGAAACATTATTATTTTCCACCAATACTTGAAAAAAAAAAAAAAAAAAAA